AATACTGCCTGACGCGGGACGTTTCTGGTCTCGAGCACCGCGGATTTACTCCAGCTGGCACGCGCACGATGCTAGAAAACAATATGGAATGATAACGAACGACAGCGTGGGATGGGCAGGCACTGAGAGCAGCTTTAACTTCCCCCGGTGGCGGCTCCGCTTCGAAATGGTAGGACTAAACCTGCTCCGGTATAATGTAGTAGAGTGTCCCTTCCTATTGGTGTGCTGTTTCTTGTTTTCCCCGCAATGCGAGGAGTTGAATGAGTAACAGAGGCTACGCAGCTCAAAGTGGAGCAGAAAGCGACGGTGTAATTGCATCAATTCCTCTGACTGTCAACAAGCCAATTTTCTTCATTTTTTTCTGTCTTTTAGTTTGTTGCAGCGTCCGAAAACCATGGTCCGATCCGTGACGTTTTTCTATGGAGACAAGCTGTAGCTAAATTTCATTCAAAATCTGGACAATAAAACATCCCTATGACGATGGCATATAAACATACTGGCAAACACAACTCAGAATCAACACCGAATCGTCAAAATCAGCCCCCAAATTCGGCACACACACATGACACGTAAATTATCCCATAATGTAATAAAATCTTAACTTTCGCACTCGATTGCCCCGTTCATTCCGTCGGCGTTTTACGTCAAACACACCAAAAAGGCGGAAGCAAGCAACCTGGGACGCTTTCAAGTTTAAATTTAATTGACACAAAGCTCTTTTTTACTGTAATATGTGCGCCGAATTTGCCCCAAACCTCCCAAACAGCAGGCGATGTAATGTCACACACGAACAGCAAGTATGTCTTTCATAAAACAAATGAACTTTAAAGTCCCGGAGTTCTGAATGAAGTTTTGAGCGACGTTGCTTGTGTGCCGGAAAAAGAGACGTATCGGCGTTACACAGGCTTTATCACACCGGCAAATATGGTTTTCGACCTCTGACGTCGGGCGATTAAGCGGACATCATGCCTTGCTATATGTGTGTGTATGTGTGTATGTGTGTGTGTGTGTGTGTGTGTGCGTGCGTGCGTGTGTGTGTGTGTGTCAGGTGTGCAGTCGCGGGGGAAAGTTGTTGAGCCCGCGGCTTTGTGGCGGAGCTTGCGGCGGCAGGCCCGTCTCCTCCCGTTCGGTTCGTCACGCGGGACGGTGGAAGGCCAAGTTGAAGTTCAGCGAAAGCCTCCTCCTCTCAGTCTGTGGATGTGTGGATGTTTGTGCATGTTTGTGTTAGTCAGCAGAAAATGGCCGCAGTTAGAGCCAGCAGGCTGAGTTAGAATGGCAGGCCGACAGAGGGCCTCCTGACAGAGGGCCTGTCGGCTGCTGAGAAAACACAGATCCGCGGCTGGCGGAGGCAGCGCTCCTGAAGCCGCAGCACAGTTGGAAACACTCAGTGGAAGATTCAACTTCAAGTTGGGCAGTTTACTGCTCACCAGCAGCTCAGAGCGACTGCAGGGCAGAGCACCGTCTAATGTTGTCCCCCGTCAGTCCCATCAGATACATGACACAGCTACAATATTATCTGGTTTATTTGTAGCTGCATCAGTAGTAACAATCCACTGTCAATATATGATATTAATAAGTATATGTTTTTTGTTTTGTAAGAGTTTGTCGTATTTTTTTCATACTTCATCCTTTATTCTATACATTTGCTCATCTTTATGTATCTATGGCCTATGTACCTTGCTACTGTTATGGGAAGGTGGACACTGCTATGGTACTTTTGTGTGGAATTATTTTTGAATTTCATTTATTATGAAAACTAAATATAAAACTAAACATCAGCTTTTTGCAGTGGTGGACAAAGTGTTCAGAACTTTACTTAAGTAAAATTAGCACCATCACACACAAAAAGAAACAAAAAACAAATGTTACACGCTACAGTCCTGTATTGTAATGTACTTAAAGTATCAAATGTAAGCATTCAAAATAGAATAGAATAAGCTCATCATTTTTAAATGCACAAGCTGAATTTGTTAAGTAGCCAGACTGTTGGGTCTACTGTCCAAATAATGTAGTGCAGTAAAACGTAGGTTACTCAGTTGTATAAAGATGGCATATAAGGTCGCATTAAATGGAAATATTCTGGTAATGTAGTCTAAGTAAGTGCTTTAGATTTGTATTAAGGTAAATGTACTCATATACATCCCATCGCTGTTTTGTAGAAGCACATCATGCCCTATCACTATGAATAACACTGAGGGAAAAACAGCCAAACTATGTCTAAGCACGGAAACACAGTGCTGCTTTGTTTTTGGGAAAACCTACACGCTGACTTTTTTATGTGTAAACAACACGTTAAATGATGTCTGCAGATCGACAATTGTTCGGCATCACTTCAGTAGAGACGAGTGAACACTATGAACTGCTACGGTTCCGATCCAAGTCGTGTATAACTGCAATAATGCCAGAGCGTAACGGTGATGGCTGCTCTGCTGTAGCTGAATGTGAGGCTGGTCCTGAGATGAACTGTAGAGTGTGTTGTAAGGCCAGTTTGGGGAGGAAGAGTGCAGCAGCGGCTGCAGCTTTAAGCTCATTGTTTGGGATGGGCTGAAATCATAACGTCATTTCAGTTCTTTTTCTTTTATTCTTCGCCCCCTCATCCTCTTCCCTCTCTAAATGACACAATCCTCCATGTTCCCTTACACCTCCGGCCATATTCTCCGAAGAATCAATATTTCGAACTTTCTCTGTGTTTTCTTTCCTGCGGGGAATTTTTCTGGGGCATAAACTTTTCCAGGGTGTCATCGTTTCTGGAGTTAACGCGGCAGTCATCCGGGGCAAACAGCGCTCTCTTAAATGTGGATTCTTCGAAAAGCCTCCGTTAAACAGAGGAAATGCAGCATTTTCTCTAACCCGGAGGTACCGCTGTTGAACTGAGTCAGCGGGGAAGAGCATGTAGAAATCCGAAAGAAGTGACGACGCAGTGGGAATTGAAATTCTCAGCTCAGGAATGTTTATGTTAACGCAAAGCCCGGTTTTATTCAGATCCTTCTCATCAAAATGATGTTTTCTTCCCTCTCTCTGTCTCAGGTAAAACTACACTATGCTTCCTCTCTGCCCCAGACCACAGTTGTTGCACTTCGTCGGAGCCTACCCCTCATCATGTTGATGTGTCATTATCCATGATACTTAGTTGATTTGACAATGCATTGTGTATAAGAAAATTGAGTTATATCTTAATTTCCACAATTTTAGTAATTCTTTGCTACAGTTGCAGTCACTGGTCAGAATAGAACAGGCTGTAATATGAATCCCCCAGTGATATCAGGGGCAGGTATGCTAATTAGGGACCTGAATTAACATTTGGCTTTTATATGAAATATTTGGTAATTCATGTTTGAAAGACTTAATTAGATTACTCTTCTCTATGGTATTGTAGTCAGTTAGTCTTTCAGTATTGGCTACTTTGTGTGTGCATCTGTATGTGTATATCTGTGCAAAAGTATTCCCACGTTGTAGACTGTTTGTATAGGGACGAAGAGTTCAGTAAAAGCAGTTCCATTGTGTTCTGTGGATGTATATTAATATATTAACCAATAAGGCAGAAGATGAGGGACAAGCAGTTTAGCTGTCAGAATATATTAGTAGATTTTCTGTAATACCCGGTTGCTCCACCAGGTGGAGCCTTGTACTGTCCAATGACAGTGATGTTTCAGGTAGGTTGCTGGCTGCCCTTTAGTGTACATCTAACAAGGTCACCACCCTGCTGACGAACTGCTAGCTGTGGCATTCGTGTTAATGAACCCTGTGTCGTAAAGTTGTTAAAGGGTGTCTGGTTGCTATCCAGTTTAGCTACATACCTGCGGCTAATGTTATCAATAAACTAAGATTTTCAAATATCTAATAATGGTCCCCAACATTTAAACTCGAGTGAATAAAAGCATTGGTGATGCTCTGCTGTGGGTATGAGTATATTTTAGAGGTGGCAGGAAGTATTGACAGATTTCCTGGACTGATAAAGTTGCTGTGTCAGTATGTGTTGACATCAGATTTTGAGCTGAGCAGCTGTTTTCAGCAGCTGTACCAATGTTAACTATGATGAACAAGCCACTCCATCATGTACATCGGATATGAGGATTATTTTGACATCAAATTGCTGTGAAGAGATTATTAATGTTACAGGTTTTCTACTGTGGAAGATTGCAGCTTGTTTGCTGTGTTTCATATCATAGATTTTGTTGGGCCCATTGTTGAAAAGTAATTTTCAATTAAGTTTTTGTTATTTCACTTTTAATTCAGTGCTGCAAGGTGGCTTGGTGGTTAGTACCATTTCCTCTCAGCAAGAAGGTCTCCGGTTCGCGTCCTGGTGAGGACATCCGGGATCTTTCTGCGTGGAGTTTGCATGTTCTCCCCGTGCAGCGTGGGTTCTCTCCGGGTTCTCCGGCTTCCTCCCACACAGTCCAAACCCCCCCCCACTAGACATGTGCTGAGTTTTGTTTTGTCCAATGATTAATCAGTAGTTCATTGTTAACATGGCTGACTTTATATTTAGGAAATTATCAGAAAATTTTCCTCACTAGTCCTGACTTGTTGAGAAGACCTCTGTCAAAAGGTCATGTATCAAAAGACTTTTGTAGCATATCCCACAGAAAGACCAAGAGACGCTTGAAATGAGGGATTTAGATTTAATGGAAATCCCAAAACCAATGAAAGGGCTGAATACAAAACACAAACAATAATATACAGTATATTAGTTATCTTTCCATACAGTTTCATCTCTTTACCAGATCACATTAGGCTCATGTTAACTCAGTTTAATAGTGTCATTATAGATTTGAACCAAGTTAAGTCACAAACCATATCTTAATATTATAGTATGATAACAGATACTAACCTTCTGCCTTGTGAGGGCCAATACACTAAACATTTTTTTCTGTGTGCTTTAATTTTACAATTTTTCTTTACACTTCACACTGCTGCCGAAATGATCAGTGTTTCATATTTGATACACTGATAATTTCCACTATAGAGATGACAATGTCTTTTTTTTTCGTTTTTTTTCAAAAAACAGTTTCAACTTAAGGAGCCTTTATTGACAAAAGTAAGCTCAGCACTGGATGCGCCAACGCTCCTTTTCCAAGAACTTTTGAATCGCTTTGCTTGATACTGTACATCAGTCCAAGCCGTCTTTGGCAAGTATGCCAGGTGGAGAAAGTACTGTGCTGAATTTCATATTGATCAGGTAACTGGGGATTAGGGTTGAGTGGTTTTAAGCTGTCAGGACTGTTTAATTTGTCCATTATAAAAGGTTGACTGTTGACCATAGCCATTTCTTTGTAGGGATTGTAGAGAAGCGTTGTTGAGTCTGCTATGAGAAGGGGACAGGGCCAAGCTCAGAACACCCTTGACAGGGTTAATCTGGCACTCCCAAAGATCACCTGCATGACTGTAGTGGGGCAAGCTCTCTATGTATCAAGCTCTTTTACCTGCATTGAGTTCATCATTTGCACCAATGAATTTAGTGCACTGATCACACCACATTTGACGGACAACATGTCAAAAAACAATGAGAAATTTCAGGCTGTTGATGAAGGCATCAATGGGTATATCTCTATATTCTCTAGCATCACAATGTGACAGGCCTGTTAGTAAAAGCAGGTCAAGTGCAGACCATATAGTTTGTGCTGTTTCCTATCCTCCATTATGACAAATGGATTGAAGTAGTCCATGCTGCAACATGTGAAGGGTGGAGAGGCCTCTACACATTGTAAATGCAGGTTACTTCTCCTTTGGTCCTCTGGAGGTCTCCTTAGTCCACGGCAACACACACTGTTGGGTGTAGGACTCAGCTGCTATGTTCATTATAGGAATCCAGTATCAATGCAATTTTACAATTACAATACAGTTTCATTTAGCAGACGCTTTTATCCGAAGGGATAAAATTTTCAGTTGAATGTTGTAGTGCAGTGTACAACATCATTTCACAGCACTTAAGATTCAAGATTCAAGAGTTTTATTGTCATATGCACAGCAAAACAGGTAGTTGTACTACACAATGAAATTCTTACTCTGTTCAATCCCCCGAAAAGACGATACATTAAAGATAAATAAAACAAGCCAAACTTACATAGTTAGGTGAAGACCTTATGCATTTTGAACAGAAAACCCAACAATCCCAAGTTGCCTTTGGACTCCCTCTGAGCAAGCAATAAGCAATGGTGGTAAGGAACCCAAAAACACCCCTTAATAGGGAGGGGAAACAAAAAAATCTCTGACAGAAGCAGGCCCAGGGAAAGCAGCCATCTGCTTTGACTGGTTGGAGTGAGAGTGAGGATGGGGGTAGTGGGGGACAGCAGTAGGGGTTGGAGTGGGGATGGCAGGATAGCAGATGGAGAGCAAGCAATACAAACAGAACAATGAATATTTTGGAGGTTGGTGAGGTTGGTGAGACCAGCGGTTGCAGATTAGAGACGTGTAGCAAGATTTTAACTTCTATCCTGGATTTTACGGGTAGCCAATGGAATGAAGCTAATATGGGAGAAATACGATCTCTCGCACTGCCTCCTGTCAAAAAATCTTGGCAGCCACATTTTGGATCAGCTGTAGGTTTTTTGGAGTGTTATTGGGACATCTTGATAGTAAGGAATTACAATAGTCCAGTCTAGAAGTTATAAATGCATGGACTAGTTTCTCAGCATCACTCTGAGACAGAATGTTTCAGATTTTTAGGATATTATGTACATGAAAGAAGGCTGTGCTATAAACTTGCTTTATATGTGTGTTGAACAACGTGTCCTGGTCAAAAATAACTCCAAGGTTCTTTACAGTAGTACTAGAGGCTGAGGCAATGCCATCAAGAGTAACTATCTGGTTAGAGAGGGTGTTTCTGAGGTATTTAGGGCCAAATACAATAACTTCAGTTTTTTTTCTGTATTTAAAAAAAAAAATGCAAGTCATCCAGGCCTTTATTTCCTTCAGACATGCCTGGGGTTTGACTAACTGCTTGGCTTCATTTGGCTTCATAGATAAATATCTATATCTAACAATGTCTAACAATGTAAATGTATGCAGTGCTTTCTAATCCTATTGCCCAAGGGGATCATGTACGAAGTAAACAATATTGGTCCTAACACAGAGACTTGTGGAACTCCGTAACTAATTCTGTTGGTGGGAGGGAAGAATCATCATTAACACAAAAAACTGGATCTGTCTGATAAATATGATGTAAACCAATTTAGTGTCGTTCCTTTAAGTCTATTAGCACGTTCTAGTCTCTGTAGTAAGATCCTGTGATCCACTGTATCAAATGCAGCACTGAGATCCAGTAGAACCAGTATAGAAACTAGTCTACTGAGGCTATAAGAAGATCATTAGTGACCTTCACCAGTGCTGTCTCTGTACTATGATTCAGTCTAAATCCTAATTGAAACTCTTTAAACAAACCATTTTCCGTGCAGATGGTCACATAATTGGCTTGCAACAGTTTTTTCATGAATTTTAGAAATAAAGGGAAGTTGGATATGGGCCTATAGTTAGCTAAAACACCAAGATCTAGAGCAGGCTTTTTGAGAATTGATTTCATACATAGGGAAGCCTTTTCCTTGAGGTTTTGTCCTTTTGTTTTTGTGGGCTGTCAGCATTATCACACAGTTGTATTTTGGGTTGACAATGGGTTGCTTGAATGAGTCAGAGTAAGATGAAAGGCAGTGTTACCTGCCCACCTTGAGGATAGCATCTGAATCGAGAAAAACATCTGGGTGGTGCAGTCTGTTGCTCAGCGGTAGTAGACTTCCTTTGACAGCATGACTTCTCTCATATGTTTGACTTTGTAGATCTTGGATTATGACATGTTCAGTGCTTTTCTCTTCACTTACTGTTGAAAGTTTGTTTGTGTGATATGTTTTCTTAGCCTGTTGCAGGAAGTGGGCTGCAGCCTTGCCAAGTCGGTACTGTGATGAGAACTTGTTGAAGCGGTCAATCAGACTCATTGTTTTTGTGTTTGTGTGTTTGCTGTGTCTGTGCTCGTTTGATTTCTGGATCTATGTGTAGGTTTACTTCAACATTTCTTGGTGAAAGTATTTTCCTTTCCCAGAGCAACATTGGACCAGTGAGTTGGTTAGACTTAGTTAGCTAATTTACAGTTTCTCTTCAGGATACACTCTCTGCTGGATCCTTTCAATGGGGACATAAAACCACTGTTGGAAGGTTATGCTTTGACAGACCCTCTGGACTCTGGAAGTGCTGTGCATAGTTTTTGTTTGTTTGTTTGTTTATGTAGTATAAGACTATATTTGATTCTGTCCAGAAGTCATCTTTTGTAAAAGTATAACCAAGCTCTTTTCTGGCCATATTGCATATTAATATATGGTGGTTGGAACACTAACCCTGCACTTTATTCAACCCAGGGTATTGCAGTCAACTTTGTGGAACTGTCAAAAAAAAAACAACCCAAAAAACAACAACAGTGAATCACTCCACCATCAAATTTCCAGTATGTTAGTCTCCCTGGTGAGTACATACAACTGTACCCTTCTATGCTCCAGCAAATCCCTGAGAAGGCCTTTACAGCATAGTTGTGAAAGACCAACTTTGGAGCATATCTCTTTTGCTTTATGGGCCAACTGGATTTTTTGTTGTCTGTGATTGTAAGTCCAACTGTGTAAAAGTCTTTTGCGATGAATTGGGATTGCAGAGGATATGAGCGACTGTTTTCTTGGCTAGGTATTTGACCCATGCTTCGCATGCACAGAAAATATGTATTTTCGTTTGATATTTGTAAGACTGTGCTCCATTCTTTTATCACAGTAACCAGGTAGTTCACCTGGTACTTGGTATTTGTAGTCTTTCTCCTGGACACGGAAGTGGTAAAACCATTTTTTCTGTGTCAGACATGAGAGCAATGGGATACTGACTAAACCATACAAGTTCAGCCATGGAAGAAGGTGTCCGTTAAGGTTTGTGTTGCTTTACTCTGAAGAACAGTTGAACATGAAGCACAGTTTTGCTAGCTTTTACGATTGTAGATACCTTTATGGGGAATGTAACATCTTTCATATTGTGTAGTCCTTGTCATATTTCTCATAGCTGTAAAGCCTGTGTCGTACATGACTGAGTCTTATTTCAGTCAATTTCTTATTGTCAGGTAAGTGCTGCTGTTGTCTAAAGGGCATGATCATCTCATGATGTCCCTGGCCATTTTTTCTTATGCCTTATTTGATTCTGTCTCAGAAAACAAAATCCTCTTGTGGGACAGTCTTGTCATCTCCTTCAGCATCCTTAAAATCTAACTTCAAGGCACTAATCACATCCATCTGCCTTATTAAAGAGAGTTTTGTAACATTGACTCTGTGACAAAGACAAGATTCTTTAAAAAAAATAAATAAATAAATTATTAGACCACCTGTCATAAAAATGAGAAAACAAATATTTTAGAAATCTTTCAAAAACCTGTGTATAACTAAAAATGTTATTGTTATTTATTTGGCAAATAACAAACCGAAACAACTAAATGGTTCCTTTTCGCACATAACAACCCAAAAACTGAATTTTTTGCATACCTTGGTAACGGCGTGCATTCTTGCTGGCATATCTTTTATTTACTTTCTGACAGACTTTTTTTGTTGTTGAGTTCTAAATAGTTTCTAGCTGTTCCCACTCAGGCTGGACCCGAATGTCCGAATGTTTGGTCGCTGTGGTGGTATCCGGATATTAATGTTGAGATTCGAATATTCACCGCACTTCATTTAATTGGTTAATGAGAGCATACTGGGCATACTAATAGTGCAGTAAGCAGTGTACAAAGTAAACAACAAAGATTAGCTAATGCAACCTTAAGGTGCTCCTAAATGGGTTTTGATCAGAAAAGAAAGTGTTTACCTTAACTGAGGAGTTTTGCCCCTTCCCACGATGAGAGACAACTATATTTTATTTATTAGAAACAAGTTGTACCAGTGACTTGACTGCAATGAAGTCATTTTACTCGAAGAAAACGGGGCTGGATTGTATTAAATACTGACGAGAAATCCAGCTTTGGCATATGTTCTGGGTTTGACAAAGTGTTTTGTAATGGGATACATAAGCGTGACTACATCTTCTATACTATGGTTATTTTGTTTTCTTTTTTTTTTTATATTGTTTTCTTCACCTTTTGGCTTTATTTGACAGGACAGTAGAGAGGAAGACAGGAAAGTGGGGAGAAGAATGAGGGAAGGACCTGCAGCAAATGGCCATGGGCTGGATTCAAAACCCATGGCTGCTGCGTCAGGAACTGTAGCCCCTGTTTATGGGCTGCCCGCTCAAGCTGTTGCATTGTTGGTCTTTTCTTGTGATTTTCTAATAACAGATTTGAGGCATATTGGCTAATAATGATTGTAGTCTTTAGGGCACCGTTTTATCAGGAGGGGTGAGGGGTTTTCCAGGCTAATGATGTTGTGTCAATATCAACAGAAGATGAAAAAATATTTTGTCAAATAAGGGAACGATCTGCACTACTCTGGTTGTTGCATAGATTGCATGCCAGTGCAATGAACAGTGCCACCATGAGCTCATTACAAGAGCAGCATTTTTAATTTTTTAATTTTTTTTAATGTTTGTCACATAAGAAGTTTTTTGAACTCTGATCATTGTATTGTTAGTATTTTTGTCCCTTTATTTGAGTCGCCATGTGGTAGTGTTTCTATTTTACAATCGCTGTAAATTGCTTCCTAATATGCAGGTGAATTTTTCTAACTCTTCTCTTTTATTACACCTTGTGGTCTTTCCTCTCTTTCTCATTTTACCTTTTTAAGAAGCAAGAGCTTCTTTCATTCAACTCAAGCAATGATAGTCTGCAGATTCAATTAGTATATTCAGCATTTCAAGGTGGTTCATCAGCTGTCAGAAATCGTACATTTTCTTCAGAAAATCTCCTGGTTAGTGTAATGCTAAGAGCCACTACTGTTGCTCTGCCTACTGTTCTGCTTTTCATTTATTTAATTTTCTTCCTTCCTTTTTTTGACATGCCACTACTCCTAAGCACTTGCTGTTAGAAACAGGGTCCAACGCTAAGATGTGTGTTGTGTTATTTGCATGTTTAACAGATGTGTGCAATGAGTATTTGTGCTGATAATCTGTAATGACTTATCTTAATTTTTGTATGAATTCTAAAATGAATGGGGGCCTAATGGCATACAGACTCAACTTTCTTTGCATCTGGTAAAAACTTAAATGAGCTACATTTAATCACAATCAGTTAATTTGTCTCCATTTGCCAAAATTGCTTGGTTTACCTCTAAATCGAAGGGTTTTGCAACTTTTTTGAGGTTTCACCAGTGTGTCATGTGACCAGCTAGAGCGTGGAGCCGTCTTTTCAGGACACAGTCAGAAATGTAACTAGTCCCAAACACAGAGATTTAGCTCCTTATTCACATAATAGACATCAAAATATAGCCACAAGGCTCATCTCTCTCATAGTCCCAACATCTAACTCAGTTGAAGATTTGTATTTAAGATTTTAACCTTAGCCGACACCTAACCCACTGTCAAGCTCTTGTTCACTGCAATAACTGCAGGCTGACTTTGTCCTTAGCTCCCCACTTCTTAAACTTGCAGTCTCTTCCTTTAGTGCTTAAAGCGTGGACACATGCTTCATATTCTGATGCTCAGCGACTCAAGCTCTAAATAAAAATATCAAAATTACAGCTTAAAAGCCTCATTCTTTGTCAGAGATTGATCAGGTGTAACACAGCAGGCAGATTGTGGCAAAGTGACTAACTTTAATCAAAAATACGTACTGGTAAAATTACAGAAGAACAAACAAATGGTGGCTGATGAACAAGGGGGAAATAAATCCATACACAGACGGATAATCCAAAGAAACAAGTTCAAAAATACACAGGGACGGAACTAATCCTAAAACTGAATTTCAGAGAAACAGGCAGGCAAGCAAAATCCCAAGCATCAGGGCAAACAGGCTGGACCCATCAGGACAGTGGCAGAGAAGCTGGTCAGGCAGCCAGGGCTGCTCACGAGGCTGATGGAAAGCAGATGGTCAACTCTACTTCATTGTTTTATAAATTAAACTTATAATTCATATTAAATAAGGAGCTATCTTTGTGTTAGCTGTGAAGGCAAAATTTAATTTACCAGCATTATAGTGTATACGTTGATGTCTTGCTAGATCTCCTTTTGCTTTATAATTTCCAGTTTCTTACCATGGACACAGTACCTCTAAAGCAGCCTGTAGGCCTCCTCTTTTTAGAAGCAGTGGACCTAAATCCAAACAAGCACATTTCAATTTTAGCAATGTGGCATACATTATGATTATGGTGGAAAGTTAGCAGTTGCCATGTCAACTAATATCTCATGATACTGTGAACATTCCAGTGTGAAGGAAGACTGTTGAACATAACCCTTCTCAAAGTTGTATTGGTTAAGAGTGCATGTGAGAAGTTATACTAAGTGTTTAGTTTGAAAAAACAAAAACTTTTTTAGAGTTTACATGAAACAATTATTAAAGAAAAAAAATGTCCAGTGGAAGATGATGAATTCGAAACAATTCTTTTACGAAATTGTGATTTTTTTTAAACACAATGTAACGTAGTGCTACTGACTTACCATTGAGAAACACATTTTTCAAACCTTCCATTATTCATTAACTGTCCATTATATATGAGTAAAAATCCAAAAATTGCTCAGAATAATGGAGGAAGAAAAGGAAAAATATCCAAGAATCAAACCCAGCAGTGTTGAAGTTTTCATTTTAGGTTTGTAGTACTGCTGTTTGCTGTCTGTGTGTTATACTTGGTTTGGCTACTGATTCTTGTATCTGTACTGTGTGTGTGTGTGTTCATCTGTCTATCATGTAGGATGAGTTCCATCCGTTCATTGAGGCTCTGCTGCCCCAGGTCCGTGCCTTCGCCTACACATGGTTCAATCTCCAAGCCAGGAAAAGGAAGTACTTCAAAAAACATGAAAAGAGGATGACTAAAGAAGAAGAGAGAACTGTCAAAGATGAACTGCTGGGGGAGAAGGCAGAGGTAAGATGAATAATTGGAGTGAATTCATTTTTTCTAACAAAACAAATACAAGACTTTACGCCTGACTCTTTTTACACTAAGCATACTAATACGCTTGTGAAATGCATTATTCAACACATTACTTGGCTTATCTCGCTACACAATATCATGCTGTTCCTAGGTGAAACAGAAGTGGGCCAGCCGTCTTTTGGCAAAGCTAAGAAAGGACATTAGACCTGAATGCAGAGAAGACTTTGTCTTATCAATCACTGGGAAGAAAGCTGCATGTTGTGTCTTGTCAAACCCTGACCAGAAAGGCAAAATGAGACGCATAGACTGTCTACGACAAGCCGACAAGGTAAATTGTAAACTGTTTTTTGTTGGTGTTAGTTTTGTTTTTTGTATTTTGTCTGAAGAGTGGTTGGGTGGGTATTTTTCCTCATCCTTGACTAAAATCCTGGATGCCTGGATTTGATCAAATCTGGTACAAATATTCACTTAGACTCAATGGCTCAAATCAAAGACATAATTAGAATTTGATGATTAAAGGTTAATGTGACCTCAAAAAACACATTTGAGCCTTAGTTTAAGAATTCGTACACTAATTGTGACAAACTTTCACAAAAAAGTTTTCAATACATATATGAGTCTGGACAGACATAAATCTACTGGAACCTGCAACTTTATGGGTTGGCAGAGGCATACAACTGCGAGGCAGCAATTTCAGTTATATTTCGGAATGGAAGTAAGGTGAAAATTATTTGGAATTCCACTGTCTGCGTCCAGTGACAGTGGTAATACAGTCAGTGTTCACATCAGTCACCTCAATTGGAAAAAGTTAGAAACTGGTCAGAAAGTAAGGCACAGTCTGAAAAGTCAACACTACAGTTTGGTCTAAAATTTGGGCAAAATGTTAATGTCTAATCCAGTTTTTTAGTTATTTTGGTAATTAAAAACATTTTTATCATCTAAGCAGTTGGCAATCTGATGCAACTTTGTTCATCAAATCAAATCAAGTTTATTGTCATTTTGCTGTGCATACACAGTAGTACAAACAAGAAGAGAGAGCGTTTCTTCAGGATCCAATAACTCAAAGCAATTAAATAAAGAAGTGTTTGCATATCCGGATCAGCAGTTCAGCATTCCGACAGCTTGTGAAATTAAGCTGTTGATCATCCTGGAGGTTCTTCCTTCAGTGCTCTGGGAACCTTTCCCTGAAGGCAGCAGTTCAAACAGTTTATGGAGAGGGTGTGAGGATTCCCTGACAATGTTCAGTGTCCTGCTCCTACAGCATCTCTGGAAAAGTTCAGAGCTACCTGCCTGTCTGTCCGCCCGAACGATGTCATCTCCTCCAGCTGTATGGCCGTCTGGGTTGTTGTCATGGAGCCATGTTTCTGTAAAAGCAAACACACAGCAGTCCCTCCACTGTCCGCGGGCTTCTCCCAGCAAATGTAGCTCCTCCAGCTTGTTGTCAAGGGAGCGGACATTGGACAGTAGGAGCGACGATACTGCTGGTCTGGAGGGGTTAGCCTTTAGCTTAGCATGGATCACGGCTTCATGATATGATTATTGTAATTTTTCCCACACTGCAAGGTAATATTACAGAAATATCCCTATCAACATGCCTCACAGCCTAAAAACATGGCAAATACATGGAAGCAGTAAAATGCACCCTGATTAAAAAGCTTAAATTACAGAAGTCCAGTGAAGCAGTATCATACACATGAAGAGAAGCAGTGATGCAGTGACTTCACATGATATACACTGCTCAAAAAAATAAAAGGAACACCTAAACAACACAATGTAACACCAAGTCAATCACACTTCTGTGAAATCAACCTGTCCAGTTAGAAAGCAACACTGATTGTGAATCAATTTCACCAGCTGCTGTGCAAATGGAACAGACAACAGGTGGAAATGAGAGGCAATTAGCAAGACAACCCCTATAAAGGAGGGGATCTGCAGGTGGTGACCACAGACCATTTCTATATTCTCATCCTTTCTGGCCGATATTTTGGTCACTTATGCATTTAGTCAGTGCTCTCAGCCCTAGAGGTAGCATGAGGTGGTGTCTACAACCCACAGAAGTTGCTCAGGTAGTGCAGCTCATCCAGGATGGCACATCAATGCAAGCTGTGGCAAGAAGGTTTGCTGTGTCTCTCAGCACAGTGTCCAGAGCCTGGAGGAGATACAAGGAGACAGGCCAGTACACCAGGAGACGTGGAGAGGGCCGTAGGAGGGCAACAACCCAGCAGCAGGACTGCTACCTCCTCTTTTGTGCAGGAGGACCAGGAGGAGCACTGCCAGAACCCTGCAAAATGACCTCCAGCAGGTCACTAATATGCACGTTTCTGCTCAAACTGTCAGAAACAGACTCCATGAGGGTGGTATGAGGGCCAACGTCCACAAGTGGGGCTTGTGCTTACAGCCCAACACTTTGCAGGGAGATTGACATTTGCCAGAGAACACCAAGATTGGCAGATTGGCTATTGGCGCCCTGTGCTCTTCACGGATGAGAGCAGGTTCACACTGAGCACATGTGACAGACGTGACAGAGTCTGGAGACGCTGTAGAGAACGTTCTGCTACTGTGGAGAACATCCTCCAGTATGACCGGTTTGGCGGTGGGTCAGTAACGGTGTGGGGAGGCATTTCTTTGGAGGGCCGCACAGCCCTCCATGTGCTAGCCAGAGGTACCCTGACAGCTATTAGGTACCGGGATGAGATCCTCAGACCCATTGTGAGACCATAGGCTGGTGCAGTGGGCCCTGGACTGGCCTGCCCATTCCCCAGACCTGAATCCAATTGAGCACATCTGCGACATCATGTCTTGTTCCATCCACCAACGCCACGTTGCACCACAGACTGTCCAGGAGTTGACTGATGCTTCCAGGTCTGGAAGGAGAACCCTCAGGAGAACATCCACTGCCTCATCAGGAGCATGCCCAGGCGTTGTAAGGAGGTCATACAGGCATGTGGAGGCCACACCCTCTACCGAGCCTCAGTTTGACTTGTCTTGCGGAATTTCCAACGAAGTTGGATGAGCCTGTAATGTGATTTTTCACCTTTACAATTCTAGAGTTTCATTTAGCAGATGATTTTATCCAAAGCAACGTACATTTGAGAGGAGATACAACACAAGCAAGGATCTACTCAGGAGAAAACAATCTAGATAAGTGCCATAGAACAAATTCAAGTGTGATAGGGCGTTGATGCCAATAGCAGGCTGTGTGGGAGGTAATAGGATTTTTTTTTGTTTGTTTGTTAGTTTTCGGGCTGTCAAGTGCAAAAGTGTTCAGTGACGAGCTCGGTCTTTAGTCTTTTCTTGAAGACTTAGAGGGAGTCAGCAGATTCAACAGAGTTTGGTAATTCATTCCACTACCGCGGAACCACAGAGGTGAAGAGTCTAGCTATCGACCTCGGACCCTGTTTTGAGTATGATTCCAAATCCAGACCTCCATGGGACAATAATTTTGATTTACGTTGATCATTTTTATGTTATTTTGTTCTCAATGCATTCTACTATGTAATGAATAAAGATTTTCAGCTGGAATATTTCATTCATTGACATCTAGGATGTGTTCTTTTAGTGTTCCCTTTAGTTTTTTCAGCAGTGTATTTGTACAATACCTTTGGCTTTAGTGAGACTTATGTTGTTTTTAATCAATAACCTTTGTGTTTTATCTTTTCTGAGGTGTGGCGATTGGACCTGGTGATGGTTATCCTTTTTAAAGGGATCCCACTGGAAAGCACAGATGGAGAACGGCTGGTGAAAGGAGGCCAGTGCTCCAATCCAGTCCTCTGTGTCCAGCCTCGACATATCTCTGTCTCTGTCAAGGAGCTCGACCTCTACCTCGCTTACTATGTACAAGAGAGAGGTATGTGCCAACACACCCTTGAATTTTTTTTTTAAAAATGTCATCTTTTATTTGTATTTTGAGATACATTGTACTTCAGGTTAAAGTTAGGTACACTGCCAAATTAACGGCATTCGGTTGATATGCTAGCCACCATTATATACGACACTTTCTTCAGCATCTTGTTATAAGGGGAAAATGTTCTTTTTTACAAGATCTTCACACACCACTTGTTGTGAGATACCGGTTTACTCCCTTGTAACATGAAACTTTAATCACTCTTCAATCTCTCTATAATCTGTATTATATCACAAATTCATTATTGTACCGTGATTGGTTAGCATTACATTGCTGATCTAGACATGTGGCCTGCTGTGTTTATGTGTTAAATACTTTCGTTTTTTGGTATGCCTGTGTGTTATTGTGTGGATTTGGTATTTGTGACTGTCAGTAATTAGGGTACAACTGTGTGTCAGTCAGTGCACTGTTGGCATACCACGCTGCAAGTGTTACTATCGAACAAGAATGGTAGTACATATTCACCACCAGCAACAACTCATCATTGTCAAAGCCAGTTTAAGTACAGCTGGGGTGTGATGACATTTTGAAACTGACTTGCTACTTGGTTTTCACATCAGTGCTCTATTGGTTATGGTTGTTGGCCACATTGCAAGGAAGGAAGGGTCTTTCTGAGTTTGCATATTCTCCCTGTGCCTGCATGGGTTTCACTGGGCACTCCAGCTTCCTCCCACAACAAATGCTAAGGTTAATTGATGATTCTAGATTAGTCAATTAGCCAATCTTTGATTGTCAGGCTCTCTGTGGTTGCCCTGTAATGGACTAGAGATTCATCCAGGGTGTACCCTGCCTCAGCCCTCAGTCAGCTGGGATAGGCTCTAGCCTCCCATGCTCTCTCTAGGTTTTCGGGTTCAGGTTAGAATCAGTTTTAGGTCAGGGCAGAGATTAGCCACTTCGTTGTAATGTAAATGATGAACTGTGTTACTCACCTGTAGTCAGAAGTGATGTTGATGATCCCTTTTTACTCATACGTTTATTATACACAAATGTGAAAAGTTTGTGGTTGTGACTGTACTTTTTAATACTTGAAGTAATAATGGTATTAAATATAAGAAAATGATCCTTTAAAATGGGGAAAGACAGGGAAAAGGAAGGAAGGAAGATGAAACAGTAAATATCAGAATCCAGATTGCTTCGCGCTAAAATTTAATGTTTACCACATAGCTGAAACACACAGTAAAATAAACTAGAAAGACTATACAAGACATTGTAAAGTGTAACTATTGAACCAACGACATTTGAAGATAAATTGTCCTTTCCACATCACAAGAGCTGAGAGCAAAAACAAAAGGGAAGGCAGCAGATTACATGGCAGGGGTGGAAAAAGAAAGGAGAAGAAAGGAAGGAGAAACATTGGAAATGTAACAGAAGGAGGAGGCAGTAAGACACCCTCTAAGTTTTTTGTACTTCTGTAACTGTTTTTCATTCTGCTTTATAGTTTTCGCCTATAGTTTATAGATTTTGATGTTTTTGGTATATGAGAAACCTTTCCACAAAAAATGTGGAAAAATGTAAGGTACATTTTTCAACGACGCTACACTTTTTCATGGCAAGTGGTTCTCCAAGTTTCTCCAGGGACTGTGATTGTATTTGAATTTTACTCTGAGCTGCTGCCAGTGAAGCAGGCATACATGGCACAAACTGGCTAACATCACAACCAGTTCAAAGAAACCATGATGGATGTGAGGCAGGTTGCTCTATAAACTGATACCAGAATTGTTCTGTTTTCTCCCTGTCTCTGTCTCTCCAGAGACAGAGGACAGCAGCAGTCCCAGTCGTACAGGAATGGGTTCTGATCAGGAGGACAGTCAAACGGCCACCATGGGTAATGTAAACCTTTCATTTCAGTGGAATATTCAGGTTTCCTGTCCACTGCTTACACAAAATGCACTTTGTTACTTTAGTTATTCCATAAGATACATACACTTGCATAATGTTCAAATACTGTCTTTGTATGGGATGGTTCACCTTTATTCATTTAGTATTTGTTCATTTTTAATTATCAAATGATATGAACAAACACAATGCATGCCTAATACAGAAACAGTCCATCAGCTCAATTTGATGGGATAGATGATAAGTTAACGTTGTAGTAAAAAATTAACACCAAATCTGTAAGAATATTTAGAACATTTGGAAGACGGGAGGGATTGTGATCAAGAAAAGCAAAAGGTAATCCATGTGCAGCAAAACCTGGATATTTGTCGAGTACCACAAGCTATATTATTTGGTGCACTGCTTTTGTCTTAGGACGACTATTGTTGGAGGCTCCCAGCTTGATCACAATATTACACAATGCAAAATTAGAGCAACACACACTGAAAGGACTGAAATAGCGATGAAAGCACTGAAGCACAACCAGAGGCATGGAGTACCTAGGCAATGGTATTTTGTACATCCACAGCATGTCATTATGCACATTAACTGAGCAAATACCTAGTTGTATGGGCTCAGTCAAAATATGTTTTTATTGACATGAGCTTATTGCTACTGCCACACACACACACACACACACACACACACACACACACACACACACACACACACACACACAAAAACAACAACAAAAAAAACAGTGTGCAAATGCTGTTATGTTTCTGCAGATGGTCCAGAGTTCCAGGAGAGTTTTGTGACATCAGGAGTTTTCAGTGTTACTGAGCTGGTCCAGGTCTCAAGAAGTAAGTCAGCTATACCATTAAACTTAGCCGTCACCCAACTATACTACGACCATTCATTGTAGCACCAAAGATTCTACAACCCTGTTTGTGTTTTAGCTGCACTGAGCATGTCATGTCCTAAGACTTCCACTCTATATCCAGCAAATTTTGGACACATGACTTCTCACTTGTCGTTATGACATTGATTCTGATTTTAACATTATTTACAAATCAAAAGGCTCGGAATTTCTATAATGTAGCATGAATATAGGTCAGTATTAATGGAAAATTTTAAATGGGAAAATATTCAGTGAACATGTGTAGAAACACAAGGTGGAGATACAAGTGCAGTTTGGTGCAAAATATTTTTTGCACAAGCTCAACTGAATCACTTCATCTATAGTGAGCGCAGGTTAAGTCTTGATCATTGACACCCAAGGACACATAATTTTGCTTATTTTACTATTTCGTAGTTTGTTGGAGTCTGCTTGGAAGACCCCATTGTATAAATGAGCAATAGGTTGTCTCTATGTTTGTCACACATACATAGTACTGCTGAGCATGTATACTATTGCTCTTCTGGCATAGTCACAAATTTTGTGCTGCACGTGGACATGTTGGAGGGGTCGACACAGACTTTCAGACTTGGAGGAATGACAAAATTTACACCATGCTGACAATAATGCACTTGTTAAAGTATATCAGCCTTAGTTCTAAGCTATTAAGAAAAAGGGATGGGAGGTCACCTGCAGTTACACCAAGCAATTTTATATAGTAATTTGTTTTTCTTTTAGTCTGAAGGTATGTAGTTATCAGTTTTTGTAGACTATATCAGAATTTAAATTTGTCTTCTGCACTGACAAAACTGACAAACACAACCTTCCCTGCTGCCATACATATATAAACTTTAGTTTGCACAATACAAAATGGAGGAGAAAAAAATTCAGTCCCTTCAACCCAGTTACCTACGATGTCTGATAGGCATTATGTATTATGTGACATTTTACAGTGAATTGACCAAAAGCAGTATTGATCGCCTGGTATTCAATTCTCAGTATGTAAATCATAAACAGTGTGTGTTCTTCCTGTTTAGCTCCAGTAGTAACAGGAGTAGGACCTGGTTTCTCAATGGGGGAGATCCAGGGTCATCTGGCCTATGACCTCAACCAGTCTGTCCACCAGTCCGTCAACCAGCCAGTCAGCCTCAGACGATCAGCGGCCAGCACCTCATCCAGTGGGTGAGTTCACCTCACTCACACATCAGCTATATATCTGCTATCATACTTTCTTTGAGGCTGGAGAACTTCTCAATGCAGTTGCATATCTTAAACATAGGAAAAAAAACAAAAGTAACAACACTGAATACACATCAACATCAACTAGTTGTAGTAAAAAGATCAGAAGCATCATATATGCTTTTATCCCTCTATTATTTCACAATTATGTCACGACTGGTCAGAGAGCCACTAGAGAGGTGGAGGAGACCAGTGACTGAGTGAAAAAGGTGTTTATTTCCAATAAGTGGTAATACAATGCAAAATCAAAGTGCAGAGATCAAACAACTAACAACCAAACCACCCAGGGGAGTGAACTGGGGAGAGTGAGCAACTAGAAACTAAACTCAAGACCAAATAAAAAGTGAACTCAAAACATAGACACTAAATCTAAGAGGAGGGCAAACAACAAACACTGAGAAGCAACGTAGGAGTAAATTACAAGGACAGACTGAGAGAACAAAGGAAAACATAATGACAAAACAGGGCAAACCTAGCTGGCAACTTGAGACTGGGAAAGCGCAAGGGTTGATTCTGAGTCCGGAGTTTTGAACAGTGTGGCGGGCAGCAAAAACAACTCCAAGCATCCAGAACATTCTGGGGGCCGGCCCTGAGGTAGGTCAAAACGAACAAATGAGTTCAGCACAATCTGGAGGGTGGTCCTGAAGCTGTTCAAAACTATGCTAAGAAGTCCAAAAACAGGTGGGGCTGGAAGACGACCAGGAGGCTGGTCGAGCAACTGGGGCTGCTCCAGAGGACGGCCCGGAGGCTGGTCAGGCAGGCGGGGCCACTCTGGAGATAGCAATGGAGACGGAGCTCTTTGGAGGGCCAGCATTCTTTTTGTCAGTGAAAAATAAAGATGGCACCCCCCTGAGAAGAGGATGGACGGATGATGCTAGGCAGCCAAAGATTCTCAAACATATGTCTCCATAGTGACGTTTCCAGGTTTAGAATTCGATGGCAGACTTTGCCACACTGCAGGTCCAATGGCGGACAGACAGTACACAACTTCCAGCAGTATTTCCCTTCACTGGGTGATCAAAAACCTTCCACCATGAATCTGTGGAGGGAGAACAGAAGTAAAACCATGGGCGTTTAGCGGGAAGAGAGGGACCTACAGTGGCTGAGGACAGGCAGAAGCTGATGAAGGAGACAACTGGGAATCTTAGGAAGACAGACTGGACACAGTACCAGTAGGATGACTAACCTAATTCAACAAATTGTGATTACTAGCTCTGAAGACACACACCTTTACCTCTCCAGCTACACCATGCATCCCCTCCGCCTGCATTCCACTCTTGCTGCCAGCTAAGTTTTAGTTTTATTTTGTGCCTCAGGATTAGTTTTTTGTTTTTTGTGTATTCTGGTGCTTGTGTCTCTTCGTGTAGAGTGTTTATTCTCGTTGCCTTATGTGATGACGTCCTAAGTTAGTATTTTGCCTGCCGCACCGCCTGTGCCATTTCTGCTATTGTTTTGATGTCCGTGTTTGGCACTGTGTGCACGTCAGTAATCCTGATGTTCCTGATCTGTAACCTCCCTCGCCTGTTAGTACCTGGTTCTGGTTAGTGTTCCACCTAATTGAATATTTCAATCTCTCTTGTGTAGTTTGACTATAGTCATTTATATGCATTTCCTATCAGTTTGTCGCTCATAGGCTTCTGTTGGTTTCTTGGAACTTTCTCTGCAGTGTAATTCCCTGTTCAGCCTGTCAGAGTCACCATAGACACATTCCATTGAAACTCTGTACTTTATATTTAGTGCTTGTGTGGTTAAATTGTTTACGTATTTACTGTGTCTGTTGTGTCTCTCTGCCTGCGCCTGGGTCTTTGCACTTCCCGTAATATACCTGACCTGCTTAACTGCTTAGGCTGACATTTTCTTTGCCGTCTTTGATAAATTCTGTCCACGCACTCACAATTCTCCCAGTAATGACATAGTTGATTGTGTTACATACCCTTTAAATCCTACTTCTACTGGACAAACCCTAAATTTTCAACCTTTCTATTCCATTTTTGCTCCCAACTCTTCGTATCTAAGCGTTTTCCTTTCATAGGTCTCCACTGATGGAAATAACTACCAAGGAGAATGTGCATGGAAGGACAGGAGTGAAAGCAATTAGCAGGGAAAGGGAAAGGGCTAGAAAAGTAACTAAGTAGAGGACATACAGGTGGAACTACAAAGTAAAGTATTTACAAGGTAATACAAAATATCAACTGAACCCCACTTGCGACCTCTGGTGGACAAGCCAGGAAACTATGGCAGAAGAAACAACCCAGAAATACTAGAGATGCGGAGAACCCACTACAAATTAATTCCTAATTACAAGGCGAGGAATAGTGAAGGGCTATGGCTACAGACTGAAACGTTCAGTACTAGGAACCAGGAAATGACTATGTAGTTGAGTTCAAACTACTCACTAGTGGGAGAGACTATTACATAATCACCAGGAGTACTATGCTATGCTGCTTAGCTGGCAGTTGCAAGAAGGGAAGAGAACGGTCAGGGAGTCTGTGGGCCAGGGAGTCTGTGGGCCAGGGAGGAATGTGGGAGCATTATTTGTGGTGGGTTTTTGGCACAACAACGGACAGGAGATCCAGGGAAGGGGGGACAGAGTCCAGATTGGTAGTGTGTGTGTTGGGTAGGATCAGTATGAGGAGTGAGGTCCAGGCGGGGGGCAAGTCTGAGCACTAGGCAGAGGAGAACACAGGTTAAATGGGAACATAAGACGAACTGAGCAAAATAACATGGCCTTAGTTGACTGACTCTAGTTGGAATAGTGAACTGAGCCAGTGTTTTATGGAGCATCTGTCTGTCTGCCCATCTTTTTATGTGTCTGCAGGAGTAAGCGTCATAAGTCTGGTTCTATGGAGGAAGATGCTGACAGTCCAGGAGGGGAGTATTACCACTCACCTTCATCTCCTGCCAGCAGCTCCAGGAACTGGGCTGATGACATGGAAGGAGGTAACAGAGCATGAGCAAGAATACGACTAATAAACCATCTACATTACCTTTCACAAACAATGTCATATCTCAGTGTTATTTTAGCTTATATATGGTTTTTATTCAGAGCAAATCAGCTTGTTAGAAACCTGTGAAATTACTGTTCTGCAGTGAATTTATATGCTACATACATCCTTGCATTGCATTGCCTGTTTTCATGATTTTGTGCCACCTTGGATAGACATCTGATAGCACGACACAAATTCATTTCAAAAGTGGCTGCAACAATGATGATACTAACACAGACTGCATAAAGCTATACAGCTAAAGAGAAAATGACCTGTGCGTCCAAAAATGATGCACAGAAACTTCTCTTACAATTAGCATGAATATAAAAATACTAACCTTACCTTGCAAGTTAAGATTTATGGCACACTAATTCAACAATCAGTAGCAATAAATAATAATTCATAGATTTAGTTAATATTACTGATCAGTCAAGGCAGGATTGGGAAGAGGCTTGGCACAACTGTAATAAATTTACGTAAATTACATCGCCTTTATGGTTAATTAATAAACAGCTCAAATATGTATCCCCTTATTCTGTTTTCTAATAAATGGGATCCTTAGTATCTCTGTGGTGAGTCATATCATCCAATATCAACCCATGTGACAGTGCAAGCACAAATGCAGCACAAATCTGAACTTACACATTCTCAAAGACATTCAGGAATTGTATTTTGTATCTATGAAATTACTCCAAAATTAGGCAAAATATCTCACTTTGCAATTCAGTTGCAGTACACTAATGAGTACCTTTGTCCTCTTCACAAAAAAACATCAAGACTTGAAACTCTGTTGTAATTAAGGAACAATAAACTTGGTTGAACATAGGAATTGGGGTTAGTCATGTGGACACCAGATAATGCAAGTGTAGATAACAACGCGTCATTAACAGTTACAGTAGACATTTCATATTAGTTCATTGTAAAACTAAATCTGTTTGTATGATGTCACACGACCCTATTAAGTCATTAAATGTAATTAAACCAAGAGACAAAATGGCTCAGGTTCACTGGCTTGACTGTTTTTTCAGTTGCATTAGCCATTTTTGTCCTGAAAAATTACTTGGCAGCTAAACCAGATAGGTCGCAGTTATAGCTGGAACTGGAAAAGAACTCTGTCACCACAGAAAATGTACTGTGAGGTGAACAGATTTATAATACACTGAACAAAAATATAAATGCAACACTTTTGTTTTTGCTCCCATTTTTCATAAGCTGAACTCAAAGATCTAAGACTTTTTCTATGTACACAAAAGGCCTATTTCTCTTAATTGTTGCTCACAAATTTGTCCAAATCTGTGTTAGTGAGCACTTCTCCTTTACTGAGATAATTCAATTCAGTTTCAATTCAATTTTATTTGTATAGCGCATATTTACAACAACAAGTCATCTCATAGCGCTAATCCATCCACCTCACAGGTGTAACATATCAAGATATGTGTGCCTTAGGCTGGCCACAATAAAAGGCTGCTGTAAATGTGAAGTTTTACTGTATTGGGGGGATCTGGGGGGAGGGGGGGTGGAGTTTGCATGTTCTCCTCATGCAGCATGAATTCTCTCCAGGTTCTCTGGCTTCCTCCCACAGTCCAAAAACATGCTGAGGTGAACTGGTGATTCTAAATTGTCCGTAGGTGTGAATACAACCTGTCCAGGGTGTCCCCTGCCTTCACCCTAAGTCAGCTGGGATAGGCTCCAGCCCCCCGCGACCCTAGTGAGGATTGAGAGATGTATAGAGAATGGATGGATGGATTCTTAGTACAAGGGGAAGTGGAAGAATGAATAGGAGAGTGTAATAAAGCCTTCATAGTTACCTGTTTGGTGGCATTTGCCTATTTCTTGCCTCTTTCTCTTGAAGACAGTTTTAAAAAAATACTGATTTTGGCAGCCCAAAAATTAAAATTTACGATTTGGTAAAACTGTCAATTGAAGTGTTCTAGGTCTTTGCAGGTAATGTCTACACAGCAACAGAAGCTTCTTATTCCAAATAAACTCTTGAGTGTAGGCAATTAACTTTATGTAAGAAGGTCTGGGGTAGCATAAGTGGTATGCATTTTAACGATTAGGAAGATAGATTAAGCACACACCAGTTTCACAGTCTTGTTGGATTTAGGTCAATAAGGGGGCACGAGTGGCTTTGCAAAGGCCTTTAACTTTGTGTGTAACATAGACTCAAGAAGAGAAAAGAATTCACTCTTTTGAAGTTTAGTTTGTATCCAGATATTTAACCAAATAATTGAGGAGTGGCAAGAGCAACAGGGACAGAAACAGGAGGGTTAGGCATGTACATCAGGAATTCATCTGCATAAAGGGGGACTTCAGTTCTTTTAAAGGCAAAAATACTCAAATCTACTTGGTGTTGACTGAGACTTTCAGAGATGAATAAAGCAGCTTTATCCAAAAAATGACATTTTTTCCAAAAAACAGATATCCTCCTTCCTATCTAAGGATATTGAAACCTCATGGGTGATTACAGGTGGAAATATTTGTGGATTATATTGAAAGGTGTTTGAAGCTGGAGAAGGACTGCTTCCTTAAAAAAAGCCCTGTTGCTTCAAACACATAATGGATCTGAGAAGAGATTCCACACCACTGGCTTTGATAACCATTTAAAGTCCAATTTAGCAAACATATTGGGCATTAAGGTGTGAGCTAAAGATTTATTTATTTTTATTTATTTTTATTTTTTTACGTTTTTGTTTTATTTATTTATTTTTTCTACAAAATTCCGAAGGATAGCCATTTTGTCCTGGATATTTGCCACTTTGCAAAAACAATCCAGCTGCACTGAGTACTGAATCAGTGATTGGTAGCTGTAGTTCATCTGCAACATATTGTTCAATGGAGGGAATATCCAGTATATTGAAGAAACTATTGAAACTGGAAGGAGTGCAGTCTTGATTGGATGAATATAGAGACACACGAACCAGCAATAACATTAAAACCACTGACAGGTGAAGTGTAAAACATTGATCATCTTGTTACAATGCAATTTTCTTCTGGGACAGCTTGGGTCTTAGCATTAATGTGGGCATTACTTTGGTACATACCACCCAGCTAAACATTGTTCCAGATCAAGCACATCCTCCTTGGTAACTGTGCTTCCTACCAGCAGCAGCAGCTTCTCCAAGCAATACAGTGTGCTCTGTCATTGAGGACTGCATTGGGATTGTGATCACATGGGATCCAATGCATATTTCACAGAAGCCTGCTGTTTTAGCTTTGCTGTGGGGCTATGCAAACTAAATACTGTATTTCTTTAAAAATAAAGTGGTGGAGTGTTATTCTGGTGTACTCCATCATCACTATACCTATGTGAAATGTGTATTTACTGCACTAGCAATTATTATGAAAGTAATTGTAATTCAGCTTTGCATAACTGACAGTTGTGCATATTTTTTTTTATTAATATCACACAGTAAATAAAGCATTTTCCTTCGGGGATGGGGGAAGACACAAAATCAGTGGAACACTGTACAGTGAAGGAGTGAATGTTTGCGGGTGCAGGTGGAAATAGACATGCAAGAAAACAGCCCCACACAGGGATGTACCCTACCACACCTCAAAAACTGCTCAGGAATGGGTCAAACCTGACAGAGTTCAAGGCATTGATCAAGCCTCCAAACTTCCCACATCCCAATCGGATCAAGCATCCACAGGATGTGCTGACAAGTCTGATTTTTGAATGCAATATTAATTTCCAAAGATACAATAGTTTTGTCTAATTTTCTTTGGGTCTGGGGGATTATGTGACAAAAATGTAATTTAAATGTAAGACAAAGTCCCGTCCTTACACATCATTTTATTTCCACGGTGTCTCAGAGCAGAGTTTACTGGCTGTCTGGAGTTCTGTGAGTTTTCTCGCTGGGCCGCTTTATGAATTAGGCCAACACAGTGCACTGCAGAGCACATCTGACCTGCTTTAAGCTTTTTATTTGTAGTGAGATGGGACTGCTGTGTGATGTTGTAGGAAATTATTTTGTGGCAATACAGGAAAAAACTATATTACAACTGCTGGTAAGTTGGTCTACAAACTAACAAGTTAACAAACCAAAGGGTTCCAGCTTATTTGATGTTTTTACCAACACATTTGCTGTGTATGCGTGATTTAGGTCTGTCTCCTCCAGTTAAGAAGGCAGAGCTGGATAGTCCCACTCCCCAGGAGGATTCACCAAGAATGGGCTCCTTTACACAGCACCACCGGCCAGTCATTGCTGTTCATAGTGGTTAGTAGCACACACAGTCTCTCACACATGCACATGCGTACACACACACACACACACACACACACACACACACACACACACACACAAGGAATACTTATTTATATTAGGACAATGCAAAGTTTAAAATATCTTTTTTGTATCATTTTCTTTTCAGGTCTGTCTCGGGGCCCCCATCCGTCTTCATCTCTTCACTTCCCGTCCTCCTCCTACTTTCCCCATGGAGCAATTCGCTATCCTCCCCACCTGGCCCAGGACCCCCTAAAAGATCTCGTCTCATTAGCCTGCGACCCTGCTAATCAAACCCCAGGCTCGGTGAGTGCCACTAGTCATTAGAGGTGCAAATACTGTTCCCTCTCTCCACTACCTTTCTAGCTTCCTAACAGCTAGTGTTATGTTACACAAAATAAACATGTAGTTATGAGTTATGAACAAAAGTGTTCATACACTGGAGTTACCAATCACCTCTATAACTCTTAATTTTCTCTGATGGAGTTACTGAAACACAAGTCTTTGTCACAAAAACAACTGTGCATTTTGAGTGTTATATCTATTTATTATAGGTATTCTGGAAAAAATAAAAAAATAGCTGTGTCAAAAGTATAAATACAGCAACTTAAATAATACTTTTTTGTGATATAGAAAGCTGTGTTAATGAAATTTTCTCTGTGGCATGACCTTTTAAATATTTGTGAGTGATTATCATTGGCTGCTGACATCTCTGAACCAAGTTAAATCGGGCTATTTGATACACTTATGAGGCTTAGCCACAAACATGATAATGGGAAACCTAAGGAGCTTAGTACAGATCTGATGAAGCAACTCACTGACTTGCAATAGTCAAGAATGGCACAGCTGTGTCATGGCCACGGTCAAGAAGAAAATGTAGACTGTCACCTGTTGCTAAGAGACAGTTGGTCAGGATGTCAAGAGATAACCAAGAATCCGCAAAAAGCAGGTCTGTAATGAATTAGAAACTGCTGGAAAACAGGTGTCAGTGTTTTACATGGCAATGGACTGAGAGGCTGCAATGCAAGAAGAAAGCCCTTGCTTCGGAAGCAGCCCATTAAGGTTTGGCCTGAGCTTACTACTGATTACATGGACAAAGAAAAGGCCCTCTTAAGAAAAGTTCTGTGGTCAATTGAAATATAAATTAGGCTATCTGGCAGTAGCGGCTGGTCATAACGGGATGCAGGGATGCTGCCCCAAGATTAATTACCAGATAGAAAGTAGTTCTCAAGCGTAATGTTAAATTTTAATTAATTATAACAAAATAATACTCAAATTAATAACATTAATATTCTTTTGCGGGCTGCCAGATGTCTCGGTGATTAGCACTGTTGCCTCACAGCTAGAAGGTCGCTGGTTCGCGTCCCAGTGAGGACACCCGGGATCTTTCTGTGTAAAGTTTGCATGTTCTCCCTGTGCCCTGACTTAGGGCAGGGGACACCCTGGACAGGTCTCCATTCTATCACAGGACTACACTTAGAGACAGACAACCAAGCACACTCACATTCACACCTACGGACAATTTAGAATCACCAATTAACCTCAGCATGTCTTTGTACTGTGGGATGAAGCCGGAGAACCTGGAGAGAACCCACGCTGCACGGGGAGAACATGCAAACTCCACGCAGAAAGATCCTAACAACCGAGCCACCATGCAGCCTGGTGTTAGGACCAAAACTATTTATTCTCTATGTTAATGATTTGGGTAAGGTCTCAAAGGAGATGATGTTTGTAGTTTTTGCAGATGATACAAATATTTTTGCTCAGATGACAATTTAGTGATGCCATTAATTAAAACAGAGATGGTAAAATTAAAACTTTGGTTTGACAGGAATAAATTATCATTAAATCTGGAAAAAAAAACCCAAAACATAATTTATCCTGTTTAACAACCGTTAAATAAATGATTTAAGTCAGATAAGACAGGCAAATGTAATATTGGAAGAGTATATGAAAATACATTTCTAGATGTGGTACTGGATCACAAACTTAGTTGAAAACCTCATATAAAATATATAAGAGCAAAGTTGGCAAAACTTGTTTTATTACTACAAAGGACAAGATTGTTTAGAAGTGTGAGGTAACACATATAATACTACATTATATCCAGTAAACATGTTACAAAAAAAGTTATTAGGATAGTACATAATGCGGACATAATGAGCACACTAATATATCGTTTTCCAAAACAAATACTTTGAAATATGTACCTAGCTAAATTTAGAACTGCCAAATGATGTCCAAAGCAAGCAACAAGTTACTCCCTGATAACATACAACACTTAAGAAGCAACATTACCAACTATGAATTCATAAGAAACTTTCGTTTTAGAAAGTCATTTGCTCGTACCATCATGAACAGTAGACGTTTATCAGTTTGTGTAAACTTATGGAACCGTCTGGATGATGATCTGAAAATGAGTACTATTAAACTATTAAACATTTTAGGAAAATATACAAAAAAGAGTGCTTGAAAAAAATGTAGTAATGTGAAACAATAAAAAAACATGGGGTTTCCAAAGAGGTATAAAAATATAAGGTTTGATGCAAACAAGAAATAGTAAGAAATGAGATAGCAGGTAGGCGCCATTAAGTTCAACTTCATCCTACTCATTATTTTAGATCTAGACATTGTTTTAGGTTTTGTTGTTGCTTGTTTTGTTTTCATTTTGTGTGTTTTATTTTCTCTTTTGTCTTTATCATGCTGTGGCATGTCTGAAATAAATCAAATAAATACAAATCTGCAAAGATTAGGGAATAAGAGGTTAAGACTGTGTGAAGAACTTAGAAAAAGAATGACCCTGTATTTTTATTGATGATTGATTATTCATTGTGTATTGGGCAGTAGGGTTGAACAGTATGCTGAAAAAAATCATATTGTGTTGTAATTATGTACTGATCGATAATATGATATGAGTTACAATTTTAGTGGAAATGGTAAATTTTTCATTTCTATTCCACAAGTCTCCACCAAACAAGCATGTTCTCTTTGTGAAGAGAATATGATTTTTGGCTAGGGCACCTCTGTAGAACCACAATGCTTCATTTATTTGTTTGTGTTTTTTTAAATTGTTTTTTTTTTTGTATAAAGCCTCTTTGAATTTCTTAAAAAGCTCTTTGTAAAGCGTATGTATTATTATTTATATTGGGAGTTTTGTGTCTTCAGTGCTTCTTGACTTGTAGCTAAAGGTAAACAGGGCAGGTAATTAAGAAACTGCATTTGATACGGTAAGAAGAGCCTAGAGGAGTAACGCAAAGGAAATTGCAATTACTCAGTGAATAGTGGAAAACGAAACTGACAAAATACAAGGCAAACTTAGCTGGCAGATTGGCACTGAGAAAGAGCAGACAGGAAAACTTGTTTGCTGGTTCTGATTCTGGAGGTTTTGAACAACGTGGCAGTAGAAGCAGACAGCGAATGATCCAAAGTGATGAGTGAAGAATGTGAGAGTAGTAGTGTTTAAACATGAACACATGTCTGGTCATTGTATTGTTTGAATTGCTAATTGTGTGTCATCTTTTTAAGTCATCTTTTTAAGTTTAAGTAATAAATAATGGTGCTCCAACTGGAATACACAGGCATGGTTCATGCCAGGTGTAATAACCAAGTTTTGTCACAAGATGGAGTTTACTGTTTCTGAGTGCTACCTGTCTGGGGAAAGCCTAGGCAACACTTGCATTGTTGTACAGTGTTGATGAGAGTGGGAGCGTGATACAAACAGTCTTGCTATGTCTGTGTATATTTACAGGCAAGTAAGCAGTAAAATAAGTCACAATGTACAAAACACTGAAGATCACAGTGAATTATATTGTGTAGTCGTGTAAAAGTCAGTGCCATGCAAGCAGCTAAGCTAACAATAGACCGGTGTTGAACTCACCTTGCAGTGGTGCTGGGGTGACGTTGCTTCGCCTGACCATGTGTATTGTTGTCTGTGTCTCTTTAGTCTGTATAAAAACAGGAGCCACAATAATTCATGTAATTTATTTTTTGTTGATGACACATACATATTGTTTAGCAATATTTTGGAACATATAGAGAGAATGATTTTGGGAAAAGATGTTTAACAATTGGGCTGCAGGGTGGCGCAGTTGCTGCCTCGCAGCAAGAAGGTTGCCGGTTCGCATCCCGGTGGGGGCGCCGGAATCTTTCTGCGTGGAGTTTGCATGTTCTCCCCGTGCAGCGTGGGTTCTCTCCGGGTTCTCCGGCTTCCTCCCACAAGTCCAAAAACATGTTGAGGTTAATTGGTGATTCTAAATTGTCCATAGGTGTGAATGTGAGTGTTGGTTGTCTGTCTCTAAGTGTAGCCCTGTGATAGACTGGCGACCTGTCCAGGGTGTCCCCTGCCTTCACCCTAAGTCGGCTGGGATAGACTCCCGCCCCCCGCGACCCTAGTGAGGATTAAGCGGTGTATAGATAATGGATGGATGGATGATTAACAGTTACATTGTTGTGCAGCATCACTATGTCTGTGTATATTTACAGAACACACTGAAGTAAAATTCATTTCCAAAGCACATTTTGTGGCTCATTCAAGTGTGCTACAAGAACAAGGCAGAGAACCAGTCAGGCATGTGTCAAAGTTGTTGATCTGGCAGTGAGTGATGGTCTGAACCAGAGTTTCTTAGTGAGGAGTGTTTAATTAGAGGCAGGTAAGACTGCGCAGTCTTCACTTGCTGCTGATTAGGTTGCAGCTCAGTCATACACATGCTGAGGGAGAGAGGAAGGTGGAGAAGAGACTGCCAGCAAATCAGGGGCAGAGGCAGGGATCCTGGCACTCCCTGTGAGTTGCTACTACACATTTGTGTCTGGCTGACATCTAGCTAATATAAAATACCACATGGAGAGATTTGAGCTCTTGGTGCATTAATTATACTTTGTTGTTGTTAAACACTGCACATTCTGATAGTTATGTAACTTCATGTACAGTTAAGACACATATCACAGTGGGACATCATATTAAAACTTTTTTTTTCTGAATGTTCCAGCTGAACGGCAGTAACCAGGTTAAGGTGCCCAGTCACTACATCTCCTCTCAAATGTTGGCACCCCCTGGACCAGCACCCTCCCTGGCTTCTCCTCCGTCATCCCTCCCTAGGCCAACACTTCCAACAGAGTCAAAGGCCACTACCACGTCATCTGATGGGGCAGCAAACTCCCCCACATCACCCAGTAAGTGATCAAAAACCCACTTTCATTACCATATGTATGGATCGAAATGCAATACAAATGTAACATAAAAGGCTTACTGGTACAAAGGGTCCTTGACGGGTATTCCAAAGTAATGGCTTTAAAAAATTCCTAAACCATCTTTGTTCCTTACTGAAGAAAGAGACAGTGGCATATCCAGAACAATGCAGACCACTTGCACTTACTGAGTTTGAGAAATATCCGAGAAGAGACTGCCTCTCGACTGAGCTATGCAGAACTGTATAGTGTGCATCAGCTGCTACTAATTTACAGTACATTAGAAGGCTGTATAACAGGGTGGAAATCACCAAAACCCCTTATAACCGTTTACTAGTTTATAATGCTATGGCAGGTACATTTTCTCAAAACTTTGCAACAATTTAAAGGAGTATTATTAATTTTGACATGGCATTTTTAGTCATAAGGTTAAAAAAAAGAAAAGAAAAGAAAAGAAAAGAAAGATTTTGTACAACTTTACTGAGGACAACTGACCAACAGGCAATAGCCAAACTATTGATGGGAATATTTTTGAAAGAATCCTTACTTCACTATAAGTGCCTAAAACCTTTGCACAGAACTGTATTTATCAGGAAATTAATTCAAACACAGAATTTCTATGGAACATTTTCAAGCAAAGCTGTAAACATTTAGCCTGACCGGTATTATCTTTCTGTCTTTGTTCATTTTGGGCTGATGTCAATATTTAATTTTAAAGCCTTTATTAACCAATACCATTATTATGCCAATGTCACCATGCAGCCTTAGTGGCTTTTAAAAGGAGTTTTAGAATGACTTAATTTTGCAAGTGAATTAGTGCTCAATACCAGTACAGTGGCCGGATTTCTATGAAATCCTTTAAATCAAGGGTCTCCAATCCTGGTCCTCGAGAGCCACAGTCCTGCATGTTTTAGATGTTTCCCTCTTCCAACACACCTGATTCAAATGATCAGCTCATCAGCAAGCTCTACAGAAGCCTGATAACAATCCTGATCATCTAAAACATGCAGGACTGTGGCCCTCGAGGACCAGGATTGGAGACCCCTGCTTTAAATAAATTAACTGAAACTGAACCCAGGTTTCAATCACATTAAAATAGCCATAGCAATTTCACTGTCATTAGTAAACACATAGACATTATTTCACCATGCATTTTGTTGTGACACAGGATCAAAATAGACTGACAGCTCCAGTGGCTCAGGGATTAGGTGGTGTAGGTGGATATGGTGTCATAGGTGTTAAAATGACTGCAAAGTATGCACAAGACAGAATAGTGAAGTTGTAGGATACAGTGATTTTACAATTTACTAACTGTCGTGTTTAATGGCGCAAACCATGGCATCCCATCTGCATTTATTTACTATTACAAAATAATTAATTCCCTTAAATATTAATTGAGGTTATTATTAAGTTTAGTTTATATAGTTAGCAGTCTATATATACATATACATATATATATGTTACGTCAGATATCCTGCTTTTTGGAGGGCACTCATTTTCTAGCTGGTATTGTTCAAAAACCTGAACTTAAGAGAGGAACTGACTGGCATACATAATTGTCCTTTGTTAACATGTTTCTGAATCATTTCATTAATGCGCAAGTGCCAAAGGCTCTGTGAACCTACTGTATTTTTTTCAAGAACTTTTCCTGTTCCATTTAGATAAGTCTTTGGCTAAGCAATGAGAGTAAGAAAGAATTACTGTTCCTCACGTTCTTCTCACTGAGCCAAGGGGCACTCTACAGATAAAACAAAAATGTATGTACACATCACAGTAATATCTACAGTTACTTCAGGAAGCTGTCCTCAAAGCAGAGAACAGGTTTAATAGTAAGAAGTATTAACATTTGTAGCACTTGGCCAATTTTGTTAGTCCACAATCAGGAATCCCTCTCAGGTCAGATGTTAACACATCAGGTGGGTGGAGTTTGCCCCCCGTCAGAAACAGACACACAATAAAGGAAGAGAGGAGCAGCACGGTACTCTGCCGTGTGAAAAACAGACTTACCAGCATCAAATTGATAGGACACAAACCAACCATAGACTGGGTGAAAAGATAAGTGCTCAGTGTGAAGTGAACTTGCTTCCCACCAGTGATTATATAGATAGAAGGGTTAGAGCTGAGCTATACAGAACAGGAACAACCAGTTACTCATTTCAGGGGTTTGACACCGTTCTCTCCTCCTTTGGGCTATGGATAGATTTTGAAAGATCTTGTGATGCATCATTCAACTTTTGACTTTTGAGAGACATTATGAGACTGATGTTGTTAACACAAACACCCTCAGCATACTCTGCCCCTGGGACTCCCCCTGCCAATCGATCCTCCTTCGTTGGAGTCACCCCTCGAGACCCAGGTGGACTCTATCAAGCTCAGGTAGGTATGGTTCATTTGATATTGTCAGGGTCAATTTAGGGAGAACCTAATAATCCCCATATTTGCAGAAGGTTAAGATCCTTCAAAATCTGTTAAGAAAACTAATTTCCCCTCACTTTTTTTTACTATATTTTAATAAAGCAGAAATGATTTAAAGAAATATTTTACATCTTTAATGTAGTTTCTTCTTTTTGCTATTTAGGATGACTTCAGCCAGATGTTCATTTTCATATACCCCACGCTAAAGTTGGTCATCAGCTTTTTCATTCATGTTGTCCTTAAATCAAAAAGTTTGTTTCTGAGACAACATACTATCTCTTTCTACCAATCCTCTCTAATATTAGTATAAACAACTACAATAACACTATCATTAATTGGCAGCTTACAACTAAAAGTATGTGTCTCTTTAGTCTGAGCCGTGAAGACCTTGTAACAGTTACAATTTTGTGCCAACATCCATCCATTATCTATACACCGCTTAATCCTCACTAAGGTCGTGGGGGGGCTGGAGCCTATCCCAGCCAACTCAGGGCGAAGGCAGGGGACACCCTGGACAAGTCACCAGTCTATCACAGGGCTACACTTAGAGACAGACAACCAAGCACACTCACATTCACACCTACGGACAATTTAGAATCACCAATTAACCTCAACATGTTTCTTGGACTGTGGGAGGAAGCCGAAGAACCCGGAGAGAACCCACGATGCATGGGGAGAACATGCAAACTCCGCCCAGAAAGATCCTGAGTGTCCTCACCGTGACACGAACCGACGCCCTTCTAGCTGCGAGGCAACGGTGCTAACCACTGAGTCACCTTGCTTGACTACATAAAAAGCAAACTTGATTTTCCGAAGACAAGTGTGCAATTATCTATATAGGTGAGAGACAGCAGGCGTCTCTCTGCAGGGCAGGTTCCTTTTCACCTCTTCAGTGTCAAGCCAGTCTATTTTTTTTTCATTATTCAGTTATAGAAGCGGTAACTTTCCTTGCCGATTGTTTGTTGGCAGTGACGTTGGTCATGGCCCATGATTTGAGTTATTTTCTGGAGCAACATTTGAAACTTCTTTAATGAGGTGTCGGTTCATCGCTGCAGCCAAGTTCACTGCAGGTGTAGGGCTAGACTCTGCAAGGCATTGTATCAGCTTTGCGTACCCTCATTTCCACATATGTATGTGAGTCAATCCGACTTCCATTCATTCCTACAGGAACCTCTTTGATCTCCGATGTGGTAGCAAAACTATTCCTCCTTTTTTCTGGTCCAGAATTTGCTTCGACTATGTTATAATTATTTGAAGGTTTGTGGTGGGATTTTAGAGAGCCTCCTGGAGCGTCTGGTGGCCAAGCCTTGACGCCCCGTGGGGCCTGAAAAAGTAACACGGGGCCACTGCCCAGAGGGCCCACCACCCTCAGGGCAAAATATTGGGATCGGGTACTATGTCCACTGGGTGGTAGGCAGGAGCGGGCGTCCTGGCGTACCGCCCCCTGGTGGCGTAGACTAGCTCTGGGGACGTGGAAGTCACCTAACTGGCAGGGAAGGAGCCTGAGCTGGTGTGGGAGGTGGAGCATTACCGGCTAGATATAGTCGGGCTCACCTCCACGCCCAGCAAACTCCTGGAGAGGGGTTGGACTCTTTCCTTTTCCAGAGTTGCTCACAGTGAGAGGCGCCGGGTGGGTGTGGGGATACTCACAAGCCCCTGGCTGAGCGCCACCTTGTTGGAGTTCTTCTCGGAGAGCGAGAGGGTCGCCTCTCTGTGACTGCGTGCTGCAAAGGGGAAAACTCTGTCGTTTGTGCTTATGCACCAAACGGCAGTTCCGAGTATCTGGCCTTCTTGGAGTCACTGGGTGGTGTCCTGGAAGGGGTGCCGCCTGGGGACTCCATAGTTCTCCTGAGGGAATTCAATGCTCATGTGGGCAATGACGGTGAAACCTGGAGGGGCGGGATTGGGAGGAACGGCCTGCCTGATCTGAACCCGAGCAGTGTTTTGTTTTTGGACTTCTGTGCTAGCCATGGATTGACCATAACAAACACCATGTTCAAACATAAGGTTGCTCATAAGTGTACCTGGTACCAGAGTACCTTAGACCAAAGTTCGATGATCGATTTCGTAATCGTATCATCAGATCTGCGGCCGTATGTTTTGGACACTCGAGTGAAGAGAGGAGCAGAGCTGTCAACTGATCACCACCTGGTGGTGAGTTGGATCTGATGACGGAGAAGGCTGCCTGACAGACCTGGTTAACCTAAACGAGTAGTGAGGGTAATCTGGGAATGTCTAGCGGAGGCCCCTGTCCATGGGGTTTTCAGTTCCCACCTCCAGAAGAGTTTTTTCTGCATTCCAGGGGAGGTTGGGGACATGGAGTCAGAGTGGGCCATGTTCAAAGCCTCCACTGCAGAAGTGGCCGTTAGGAGCTGTGGCCAAAGGGTCACTGGTGCCTGTCATGGCAGCAACCCCAAAACCTGCTCGTGGACACCGGCGTTGAGGGAAGCCATCAGGCTGAAGAAGGAGACCTTTTGGGCCTGGCTGGCTCGGGGATCTCCTGAAGCAGCAGGCAGGTACTGGCTGGCCAAAAGGGCTGCAGCTGTGGTGATTGTGGAAGCTAAAACTCG